TTCCTTCGATGATAGCTATCCGTCCAGGCCCTGACGCAGCAAAGCAGCCCCAAACCATGATGCCCCCACCACCATACTTCACAGTTGGGATGAGGTTTTGATGTTGGTGTGCTGTGCCTTTTATTCGCCACACGTAGTGTTGTGTGTTTCTTCCAAACAACTCAACTTTGGTTTCATCTGTCCACAGAATATTTTGCCAGTACTGCTGTGGAACATCCAGGTGCTCTTGTGCAAACTGTAAACGTGCAGCAATGTTTTGTTTGGACAGCAGTGGCTCCCTTTGTGGTATCCTCCCATGAAATCCATTCTTGTTTAGTGTTTTACGTATTGTACATTCGCTAACAGGGATGTTAGTATTTGCCAGTGACTTTTGTAAGTCTTTAGCTGACACTCTAGGATTCTTCTTCACCTCATTGAGCAGTCTGCGCTGTGCTCTTGCAGTCATCTTCACAATATGGCCACTCCTAGGGAGAGTAGCAGCAGTGCTGAACTTTCTCCATTTATAGACAATTTGTCTTACTGTAGACTGATGAACAGCAAGGTTTTTGGAGATACTTTTATAACCCTTTCCAGCTTTATGCAAGTCAACAATTCTTAATCGTAGGTCTTCTGAGAGCTCTTTTGTGCGAGGCATCATTCACATCAGGAAATGCTTCTTGTGAAAAGCAAACCCAGAACTGGTGTGTATTTTTTTATAGGGCAGGGCAGCTGTAACAAACACCTCCAATCTCAACTCATTGATTGGACTCCAGTTGGCCGACATCTCACTCCAATTAGCTCTTAGACATGTCATTAGTCTAGGGGTTCACATACTTTTTCCACCTGCACTGTGAATGTTTACATGGTGTGTTCAATAAAAACATGGCAACATTTCATTCTTTGTGTGTTATTAGTTTAAGCAGACTGTGATTGTCTATTGTTGTGACTTAGATGATGATCAGATCACATTGTATGACCAATTTGTGCAGAAATCCATATCATTCCAAAGGGTTCACATACTTTTTCTTGCAACTGTATGTATATATATATATATATATATATATATATATATATATATATATATTCTATAGTCTATCAAACCTGTGTCTTATCTGCACTCATGTCGCTTTAACCCCTGTATCACAATTCAGCTTTGAATTCTATGTGTCTTCTTTGCTCCGGAATGCTTTAGACTTGAGAAAGGGAGGTTCTCCCGAAAGCTTGTCATTACAAAATTATGTTTGTCCAATAAAAAAGGTATTACAAGATAGGAATTTGTATCTGTTGTTTTTTAACATCTATATATATATGTGTGTGCTTGTGCACAGATACTGTGTGTACTGTACTTATGTGTACACATGTGATATGCTAATATTCTTTCCACTATTACTGTTTCGGTATGCCACTATTATTATTTTCTTTGGGTCCCGTTATAACTTTTAAACCTCAAAGAAAGTTTTTTTTTTTCACATGTATACTACACGGTCTTAGTCCACATTACTGCTATATTATAGCCTCTCATATTAAGCATTTAGTACGCATTCTTACACCCTCCCCCCCCCCCAATGTATTCCCATATTATATATGGACGTTACATCATTTCATCCTGGATGTTAACTATACCCCTGCTCCAAATAGAAAAACTATACCCTTAAACCTCTGATAGCATTATCATTGCTGTAATCATATGAAATAAAACTGTCAAACAATAATGCCTTGTAATAACAATAAACAGAAATCTCATATAATGAGTATAGAAGACTGAATATTAAAGTCCAATATTAGTCCATTCAAATCCCTTCCGGGTATTTTCTTCAGTGTGATGGCTCCAATACCAAAATAGATATATGAAAAATGCAGAGAAAAAAGTGAGTTAGTAACTTCTATTTCAGTGCATCAAAAAAAAAACCAATCCAAATATATCGGAAATAAAAACTGGCTTTATTAAGATCCTAGCTGTAAGCTAGACTTCGGTATTTCCTTAAAGGATTCAGAATAAAACAATTTCCAAATAAAATTCGGAGTAGTAATAATCAGACTACATTAGTGTATGTCTGCAAACTGGTACATAAAGTGCATATGGGGTGCAGACCTTGTGTTGCACGCGGCGTCCCGGATCAGCAACTTAGGTATTGCTCTGATGTATAAAGTGCAGATGAATATCTCCCAAATGCCACCTTTCAGTAGTCAGTGGTCAGTCCCTCCAAACGCGTTTCTCCGTCAGCACGGCTTTATCAATGGATGCAGACTGTTAGACAATACCCGCTTATATAGCGGTTTGTTCCTCTCGTTTCACACATATCAAAAAACAACACAATGTATCTAACTCTTACATAGTGTTCACTTTTACAATGTTTCAATTTCTAACATATATTAAAACTATCATTTATAAGAAAGTCTTTATATAATGTTACATTCTGTGTTCACAAATGTAACCATAGTTACTCCCGCTGGATTTAAATTTGAACGTAACTGTCATTCAATTGGGTTATTATCTTTTAATTGTATTCCACAAATGAATTTGTTAAAATAATTACCTTATTTCATAATATAAATCCTTCTCCCAGCGGATAGTTGACCTGACCAAATACAGATATCTAAAAATAGTACTAGTATCCTAATGATTAGTACCCCTGAAAAATGACAGAAAACAATAATCTGTCTTATGTTATGTCCCAATTAAAGGTACATACATATTGACTGAACAAATATAAAAATACAGAATAAACTATATAAAAAGAAAATTCTTACAATAAAATCATGGGGAAAAGTGCACATAAGTTTGCTGTAAGTCTAAACAATTTAAAATATTAATAGAAGTAAAAAAAAAAAATAAAAAAAAAAGGAGAAAGAATATTCAATCATGAAATTGTATATTTATGTATCCCCTAAAAGACACCGATATCATTAATAAATACTTAAATGCTATTGTATAAGGAGGAGTGAATTCGTATCCATAATTATTCATCCCAAAAAATGGCACAATTCGAATTCTGCATTTAAGCCATTTGGTTGTAATGTGTTTAAATTGTATATCCATTTCATTTCTTGTATACCCAGCTGTTTGGTATGATCTCCACCTCTCCAATGTTTCCTTACTTTACATATGGCTTTAAATTTCAAGAGACTCATATCTGCTCCATGATATTGTGCAAAATGAGCCGATACCGTATGTTGCCTGAATTTCTTTTTAATATTTAACATATGTTCTCTAATTCTTATATATAACTGTCTTTTGGTTCTACCTACATACTGGAGTCCACATGGGCATTCCAGCACGTAGATTATATTGACACTTTGACACGTAATGAAATCCCGAATTTTAAATACTTCATTACTATTATTTAGTTTTCTGCTTGAAATCTCATGTATTCCTTTTGTTGAGGTGTCCTTACTGGTTTTACAAGCAATACACTCATTACAATAGAAGAAACCTTTCTTTTTCAGTCTCGGTTCTTCCTTCTTGTTCATTTTTAGATGATTGTTTGTTAATTTATTTTTTATATTCCTAACTCCCCTAAAAATAATCCTAGGTTTCTCCGGTATCGTACTGGCTAATAATTTATCCTTCTTAAGCAAGTGCCAGTGCTTTCTCAGAATTCTTCTTAGTTGTACATTTTCTTTGCTGTAATCCAGAATAATGGGTGGGAATAGATTTTGTTGTGATGTGCTTATTTCAGTTTTTTCTTTTTCTTTTAAAAGGTTATTACGCTCTAGGTCTTTTACTTTCAATAAGGCATGTTCCACCTCCTTGGGGTCATAATTCTTCGTTAGAAAATTTCCTTTTACTTTCTCCGCCTGTTCTGTATATACCTTTTGGTCTGTACAGTTACGCCTCAATCTTCTAAACTCATTATATGGTACATTTTTCAGCCATGCCGGAAGATGGCAACTTTCTTTTAAAATGAAACTATTGACGTCGACATCTTTAAAGTGTGTCTTTGTCTTCAAAATGCCCGAGTCAATGTAGATGGTGAGGTCTAAGAAATCCACGGATGTAATACTATGGACTGTATTGAGTTTTACTCCCCAAGTGTTATTGTTGATGTACACAAGAAATTTATGTAGTTCTTCTGTATTTCCTTCCCATATAAAGAAGATATCATCAATGTATCTCTTGTAACTATGAATGTTCTTATTCCATAAATGGGTATTCCAGATATGCTTATCTTCCCATTCCCCCATAAATATATTGGCGAAACTGGGAGCAAATTTGGTCCCCATTGCAGTCCCTCTTATCTGTAGGTAAAATTGATCTTCAAAAAGAAAATAGTTGTTCTTTAGTATAAATTCTATGCCTTCAATAATAAACGCAATTTGTGACTCTTCTAGATCTCCCGTCTTTCTCAGAGTATTCCTTACTGAATTGCACCCTAATTCATGTTCGATTATGGTGTATAAGGAGGTTACATCCATAGATACCAATATGCAGTTGTCTCTCCACACCACAGAGGCCAATTCACAAATCATTTGTGTTGTGTCTTTCAGATGTGATTTAACTCCAAACACATATGGCTGTAAAAAATAATCCATGTATTCAGACAGATTTGAAGTAATAGAGTTAATGCCTGAAATTATAGGTCTACCTGGTGGTGTACTCAAGTTTTTGTGGATCTTTGGTAGAAAATAGAATGTTGGTATTCTCTGAAAATTTATGTCCAGGAATTTGTACTCTGAGTCTTTAAGAATTCCCGTCTCTTTGGCTATCATCAGCATGTGTTTCAATGTTTTTTGTTTCTTCTCCAATGGATCCTTTGGCAACTTATCATAGGTCTCCCCGTCACCCAATAATCTATTTGCTTCATTCAAATAGTATTCTTTAGTCATGATTACAATCCCTCCTCCTTTGTCCGCTGGTTTAATACATATCTCTGTGTTATTTGCTAAATTCTCTAGCGCTTCTATTTCTTTTTTTGTGAGATTGTCTCTTTGGTAGTTATTTTTCTTCATTTTTCTTATATCCTCTGTAACCTGCATTTTCAATTGAAGATCCTGAATTAAAAGAAAGATGGTATGAAGCAATGGAGGATTGCTCCTTTGTCTTCATAGACATTATCATAGAATGCAGAAAAAGGCAACTTAAAGAACTAGATCAAGAAATAAAGGGAATACAAAACATTTTGGAACCACTATTGGAGGATGACAATTCACAAGAAAAAATTACGAAAATATCGGACAGTGTGGACAGATTAGAAGAAGACATTAAGAAAATTAAAAAGAAAAAGTTTATACGGGATATGGAAGATTATAAGAACGATAGAGTAAGAAATTTTCACAAGAAGTATAACACCCACTATCAGGAAGAAAAAAGTATATACGATCAATCGAAGGACAACTACCAAGCTCCTAAATGGAATTGGAAACAAGGTAATAGCCGCAATTCCAATGATAGAAGACCACTGCAAGGACAATATAGAGAGAGAAACCCTAACCTGATACCACTCAATAGGAATAGAAGGACGAATGAGAATTGGAAAAATCCTCATGTGAATATGAAAGAAGATCAAATAGCGAGAAGCAAAACACAATCTACAGAATACAGAGGAATGGAAAGACCAGATAGGCAGAGCAAAGGAAATGAAAACCCCAGAACAGCAAGTAAGATGGGAGGATACAAATCCAATAAAATGACATACCCAAATAGAGAGAAAGCAAAAGAACCAAGACAAGAAAATATGGGCGAGATAAGAAGATGGGAAGAAAGCAGTATTGTGCCGAGAACTAGCAACACTGTGACAATACAAGCAGAGATCCATAATCCCTCTAGAGAGGAGGTTTTTTTTTGTTTGTTTTTTTTTTAGGCAAGAACACAAGAGAAATCACATCATGGTTTCATCCAGTGACACCAAAAAGGAAGAAAAGAAAAAGTTCAAACTCAGAGGAGATAGAGGAGGCAGAAGAACAAGAAACAAACAGAAAAAGAAACAAGAAGAACAGTCAGTAGGCATCTTCAATCTTGCAGGAATTGCACTACCTCCCCCGTATATCACAGCCCTAAATAAAGGCTTGAAATTCGCTCCAACAGTACATATGGACAAATTTAATACCACTATTGATATAAAAAGATTTATTAGAAAGGTTAGTATTAAGAAACATTTTGCGCAAATTCAGGATATACCTAGAAATGAAGAACCTATGGGCACATTTCAACATACAGGGAGTGCAGAATTATTAGGCAAATGAGTATTTTGACCACATCATCCTCTTTATGCATGTTGTCTTACTCCAAGCTGTATAGGCTCGAAAGCCTACTACCAATTAAGCATATTAGGTGATGTGCATCTCTGTAATGAGAAGGGGTGTGGTCTAATGACATCAACATCCTATATCAGGTGTGCATAATTATTAGGCAACTTCCTTTCCTTTGGCAAAATGGGTCAAAAGAAGGACTTGACAGGCTCAGAAAAGTCAAAAATAGTGAGATATCTTGCAGAGGGATGCAGCACTCTTAAAATTGCAAAGCTTCTGAAGCGTGATCATCGAACAATCAAGCGTTTCATTCAAAATAGTCAACAGGGTCGCAAGAAGCGTGTGGAAAAACCAAGGCGCAAAATAACTGCCCATGAACTGAGAAAAGTCAAGCGTGCAGCTGCCACGATGCCACTTGCCACCAGTTTGGCCATATTTCAGAGCTGCAACATCACTGGAGTGCCCAAAAGCACAAGGTGTGCAATACTCAGAGACATGGCCAAGGTAAGAAAGGCTGAAAGACGACCACCACTGAACAAGACACACAAGCTGAAACGTCAAGACTGGGCCAAGAAATATCTCAAGACTGATTTTTCTAAGGTTTTATGGACTGATGAAATGAGAGTGAGTCTTGATGGGCCAGATGGATGGGCCCGTGGCTGGATTGGTAAAGGGCAGAGAGCTCCAGTCCGACTCAGACGCCAGCAAGGTGGAGGTGGAGTACTGGTTTGGGCTGGTATCATCAAAGATGAGCTTGTGGGGCCTTTTCGGGTTGAGGATGGAGTCAAGCTCAACTCCCAGTCCTACTGCCAGTTCCTGGAAGACACCTTCTTCAAGCAGTGGTACAGGAAGAAGTCTGCATCCTTCAAGAAACATGATTTTCATGCAGGACAATGCTCCATCACACGCGTCCAAGTACTCCACAGCGTGGCTGGCAAGAAAGGGTATAAAAGAAGAAAATCTAATGACATGGCCTCCTTGTTCACCTGATCTGAACCCCATTGAGAACCTGTGGTCCATCATCAAATGTGAGATTTACAAGGAGGGAAAACAGTACACCTCTCTGAACAGTGTCTGGGAGGCTGTGGTTGCTGCTGCACGCAATGTTGATGGTGAACAGATCAAAACACTGACAGAATCCATGGATGGCAGGCTTTTGAGTGTCCTTGCAAAGAAAGGTGGCTATATTGGTCACTGATTTGTTTTTGTTTTGTTTTTGAATGTCAGAAATGTATATTTGTGAATGTTGAGATGTTATATTGGTTTCACTGGTAATAATAAATAATTGAAATGGGTATATATTTGTTTTTTGTTAAGTTGCCTAATAATTATGCACAGTAATAGTCACCTGCACACACAGATATCCCCCTAACATAGCTAAAACTAAAAACAAACTAAAAACTACTTCCAAAAATATTCAGCTTTGATATTAATGAGTTTTTTGGGTTCATTGAGAACATGGTTGTTGTTCAATAATAAAATTAATCCTCAAAAATACAACTTGCCTAATAATTCTGCACTCCCTGTAGTAAATTGAAACCCACTTCAACTTTCTATCCCTGCAATCAAGTCTCAGCTGGGATGGAAATGTTTGAAGAACTGGTTACAGAGGATATAAGAAAAATGAAGAAAAATAACTACCAAAGAGACAATCTCACAAAAAAAGAAATAGAAGCGCTAGAGAATTTAGCAAATAACACAGAGATATGTATTAAACCAGCGGACAAAGGAGGAGGGATTGTAATCATGACTAAAGAATACTATTTGAATGAAGCAAATAGATTATTGGGTGACGGGGAGACCTATGATAAGTTGCCAAAGGATCCATTGGAGAAGATACAAAAAACATTGAAACACATGCTGATGATAGCCAAAGAGACGGGAATTCTTAAAGACTCAGAGTACAAATTCCTGGACATAAATTTTCAGAGAATACCAACATTCTATTTTCTACCAAAGATCCACAAAAACTTGAGTACACCACCAGGTAGACCTATAATTTCAGGCATTAACTCTATTACTTCAAATCTGTCTGAATACATTGATTATTTTTTACAGCCATATGTGTTTGGAGTTAAATCACATCTGAAAGACACAACACAAATGATTCGTGAATTGGCCTCTGTGGTGTGGAGAGACAACTGCATATTGGTATCTATGGATGTAACCTCCTTATACACCATAATCGAACATGAATTAGGGTGCAATTCAGTAAGGAATACTCTGAGAAAGACGGGAGATCTAGAAGAGTCACAAATTGCGTTTATTATTGAAGGCATAGAATTTATACTAAAGAACAACTATTTTCTTTTTGAAGATCAATTTTACCTACAGATAAGAGGGAATGCAATGGGGACCAAATTTGCTCCCAGTTTCGCCAATATATTTATGGGGGAATGGGAAGATAAGCATATCTGGAATACCCATTTATGGAATAAGAACATTCATAGTTACAAGAGATACATTGATGATATCTTCTTTATATGGGAAGGAAATACAGAAGAACTACATAAATTTCTTGTGTACATCAACAATAACACTTGGGGAGTAAAACTCAATACAGTCCATAGTATTACATCCGTGGATTTCTTAGACCTCACCATCTACATTGACTCGGGCATTTTGAAGACAAAGACACACTTTAAAGACGTCGACGTCAATAGTTTCATTTTAAAAGAAAGTTGCCATCTTCCGGCATGGCTGAAAAATGTACCGTATAATGAGTTTAGAAGATTGAGGCGTAACTGTACAGACCAAAAGGTATATACAGAACAGGCAGAGAAAGTAAAAGGAAATTTTCTAACGAAGAATTATGACCCCAAGGAGGTGGAACATGCCTTATTGAAAGTAAAAGACCTAGAGCGTAATAACCTTTTAAAAGAAAAAGAAAAAACTGAAATAAGCACATCACAACAAAATCTATTCCCACCCATTATTCTGGATTACAGCAAAGAAAATGTACAACTAAGAAGAATTCTGAGAAAGCACTGGCACTTGCTTAAGAAGGATAAATTATTAGCCAGTACGATACCGGAGAAACCTAGGATTATTTTTAGGGGAGTTAGGAATATAAAAAATAAATTAACAAACAATCATCTAAAAATGAACAAGAAGGAAGAACCGAGACTGAAAAAGAAAGGTTTCTTCTATTGTAATGAGTGTATTGCTTGTAAAACCAGTAAGGACACCTCAACAAAAGGAATACATGAGATTTCAAGCAGAAAACTAAATAATAGTAATGAAGTATTTAAAATTCGGGATTTCATTACGTGTCAAAGTGTCAATATAATCTACGTGCTGGAATGCCCATGTGGACTCCAGTATGTAGGTAGAACCAAAAGACAGTTATATATAAGAATTAGAGAACATATGTTAAATATTAAAAAGAAATTCATGCAACATACGGTATCGGCTCATTTTGCACAATATCATGGAGCAGATATGAGTCTCTTGAAATTTAAAGGCATATGTAAAGTAAGGAAACATTGGAGAGGTGGAGATCATACCAAACAGCTGGGTATACAAGAAATGAAATGGATATACAATTTAAACACATTACAACCAAATGGCTTAAATGCAGAATTCGAATTGTGCCATTTTTTGGGATGAATAATTATGGATACGAATTCACTCCTCCTTATACAATAGCATTTAAGTATTTATTAATGATATCGGTGTCTTTTAGGGGATACATAAATATACAATTTCATGATTGAATATTCTTTCTCCTTTTTTTTTTATTTTTTTTTTTTACTTCTATTAATATTTTAAATTGTTTAGACTTACAGCAAACTTATGTGCACTTTTCCCCATGATTTTATTGTAAGAATTTTCTTTTTATATAGTTTATTCTGTATTTTTATATTTGTTCAGTCAATATGTATGTACCTTTAATTGGGACATAACATAAGACAGATTATTGTTTTCTGTCATTTTTCAGGGGTACTAATCATTAGGATACTAGTACTATTTTTAGATATCTGTATTTGGTCAGGTCAACTATCCGCTGGGAGAAGGATTTATATTATGAAATAAGGTAATTATTTTAACAAATTCATTTGTGGAATACAATTAAAAGATAATAACCCAATTGAATGACAGTTACGTTCAAATTTAAATCCAGCGGGAGTAACTATGGTTACATTTGTGAACACAGAATGTAACATTATATAAAGACTTTCTTATAAATGATAGTTTTAATATATGTTAGAAATTGAAACATTGTAAAAGTGAACACTATGTAAGAGTTAGATACATTGTGTTGTTTTTTGATATGTGTGAAACGAGAGGAAAAAACCGCTATATAAGCGGGTATTGTTTAACAGTCTGCATCCATTGATAAAGCCGTGCTGACGGAGAAACGCGTTTGGAGGGACTGACCACTGACTACTGAAAGGTGGCATTTGGGAGATATTCATCTGCACTTTATACATCAGAGCAATACCTAAGTTGCTGATCCGGGACGCCGCGTGCAACACAAGGTCTGCACCCCATATGCACTTTATGTACCAGTTTGCAGACATACACTAATGTAGTCTGATTATTACTACTCCGAATTTTATTTGGAAATTGTTTTATTCTGAATCTTTTAAGGAAATACCGAAGTCTAGCTTACAGCTAGGATCTTAATAAAGCCAGTTTTTATTTCCGATATATTTGGATTGGTTTTTTTTTTGATGCACTGAAATAGAAGTTACTAACTCACTTTTTTCTCTGCATTTTTCATATATCTATTTTGGTATTGGAGCCATCACA